TCTTTATGTGTGTAAGTTTGTGTGAGAGTGTGTCTGCTTAGTGGTCTTTCTGTGCTGCAGTACATGTGTACAGTGCACCTGTTCAGTGTGTATGTGTTTGTGTACTCTGACAGAGACTCAGCTCTGTGTGTGGATATGGTAATTTGATGACTCATGTAATTATTTGGATAGCACTATGAGACGCCGTCTCAAGAAAATGAGGGTGCCAAGACCTTGTTCACAATACAAATGTGGAGACAACATGATCCTTGGCATCATGGCAGCCATTTATTTTACTATATAAATAAATGTTAAATACAGTCTTTTTGCCGGAACCTTTTCTCTTATTCTCCTGTAGTCTTGTGTTGGTCCTCTGTAGCTCAATTGGTAGAACATGGTGCTTGTAACGCCAGGGTAGTGGGTTCGATCCCCAGGACCACCCATAGGTAAAAATGTATGCACACGTGACTGTAAGTCGCCTTGGATAAAAGCGTCTGCTAAATGGCATATTATTACTGTAGTCTTGGTTAGGTAGTTATAAAAGAGAATATGATCTCTTTAACTTACTTGGATAAATAAAGGGTAAATGAATAGTAAAACGGGATACCTGTGTTTGTGGATTTGAGGCATAAAACCTATGAAATTGAAAATGTAAAAGTATTAACTTGTATTCACTAGTTCTCTTATTACTGATTCTGAAGTAATTCATGAAACAAAAGTACATGTTTTTTTAAAGCTAAAGTTAAAGTTGGAGTGTTGACAGAATAAGAACCTGTTATGGTGGTGAACGGTATAGAAGATTATTGTTTGTGACACTCTTGTTGTTTATTAGCTCATGAAACTCTTGCCTCATGTGCTTACAAAATATAATAATGATTAGGCTTGTTTGTTTCACAATGGTTGCTTGTTGTCTAGTTTAAAAAACAATGGGGTACTGTATATCTTCTAAAAAGAGATAGACGTTCATGTAATTAGCTGTATAGATTCGTTTTACAGAGTAGCAAATATGAAAATATATTTTGTAAAACAAAAATCTGTATCCATTGATTATAGCCTCATCTGCTATCTGGTTGACTTTTACTGATACTTATTATTATTATTAATAATTTGTCATAAATCACTAACACTATAACATGAGGAGAGGTGGTGAGCTTGATAAAAGTGGTTGTCAAGAAGACACCAACAATTCTCCCTAACTATAAAGTCTGCCATGTATCATCAATAATTTTATTCAAAGCATCAGTGGTCTAAATGAAAACAGAACAGCCCATTATAATAAGAAATATAAATTAATATCTGTTTATTATAGATATATAATGTGTCTATAAATTAATAATAGCCAGTCAATAAACTATTTATGAACCCTTTATAACGGTAACCTTGTTGTAAAGTGTTATTGGAATGGAATCAATAATGGAATGTTCCGAAATGGAATCAATAAACCAAAGGTTGACCTCTGAGACCTAATAAACCACCAAAACAATAGCTATACTGTCTAAGCCAGATAATGGTGTGAACCTTCAGGCTCCGCTGGAGACTCAGTGGATGGCCCGATAATAAACTGCTGTATGATTGGCTTTTAGGTAATAATTTGTCCCCCACAATAATTCACTACTTTTAAATATTGGTCTATTAAATGTGATCACCCACTGTCACAGGTGTAATTTTCCCCTATTATAATGAACAAGACAGTAGTTCGATATTATTTTCCTCTATATTCTGTGTAACAGATTGAAATGGCATGTGATCACAATTTATGCTTGTATAAGCATACAGGGCCGTTTTTTCTTTTACACGTGGCAAAGTAATGGCATTTATCATTTTCTTTAAGAATCGATGGGTATACTGTTTCATTAATTTAAATGATGAAAAGGGCTGTACATATCACAGTGTGGGCTTTTAGAGCCAAGCTATTGGTGTGATGACAAGCATCTAATTCTAAACAACAGGCTGTAGATTAATTGCCAATTGTATAGTCAGGGTAGTTTAGTCTAAACTAGTGTTTCCCCCAGACAGTGGAGCTATTTCTATCCATAACCGACTCATTTTAAATAACAGGCTGTAAGTTTGGCTCTGAATGCCAATTGTACAGTGTAGCTTATAGTCCAGATCAGTATTTCCCCAGCCAGTGGCCCTTGGTGGCCCTGGGTTCACTAATCAGAGGTGGTGATGGGGAGTTTGGGGACACAGAGAGAAAGCTGTGTTACTGTTAGCCCCCTAGTTAGCCAATGTTTGGCCCCTGGCAGCCTCTAATGATGACACTACCTACCACAGGACTGGAGGCGAGCAAGGACACAGTGTCGGTGGTGGTGACACAGAGTTGGGGTGGGCAAATGGTGGTGGGCAGATAGTCACTCCCTGAGGGGTTGGAGCAGAGGAGCTGTGGATAGGCCAACCTGCTCTCTCATTGTATCCTTGTGTAGTGTATTTCAAAACATCAGATTAAGGCTTGTTCTTCCTGCTCACTATCAATGATATACAGTACTATTAGGATTTGAATTTAATTGAGTAAAAACAAATGTTTTAATCCAAAACAATAGTGATAGTCTTTTTTTTAACATAATTGTTTCTAATAGTTGTCTTTTCAGCATTATCTGGGACCCTTTTACAAAGCAGAGTGGAACAGCTTTGATGTGGTCTATGGGGTCTATTTAGTAAAAACACAGGATCAAAGGTGTCTTTCCATGGGCTGACAGACAGAACAGGGAGAGACTGCCAGAGCAAATCACAAAAAATAAGGGGTTATCAGGCCCTTTGAAAATGTTTTACAAGTGGAGTCCCCACCCTGACTGTTTTAAAGGGAGGGGGAGGGAAGGAAAGGAAAGGGTTAAGGCTTTGTGTGATGAAACAGTGATCCATCCAGGACCTTGCTGTGGAAAAGCAGTGCCCTCCTCCCCTCTCTGTCCATGTGGCACATCCTCCTCAGATCCTCTTCAGTACATAGTAATTAGCGCTGGTGTGTTAGCATTAGCACTGGAGCAGAGAGAGAGAGAGAGAGAGAGAGAGAGGAGAGAGAGAGAGAGAGGAGAGAGAGGAGAGAGGAGAGAGAGGAGAGAGAGAGAGAGAGAGAGAGAGAGAGAGAGAGAGAGAAAGAGAGAGAGAGAGAGAAAGGTCGCAGTTGTAAATGAGAACTTGTTCTCAACTGGCTTACCTGGTTAAATAAAGGTGAAATAAAAAAATTAAGCAGTGCACTATATAGGGAATAGGGTGCCATTTAGGACACATATAGAGACCAACCATGAACTCCCTCCTGGCCCCTCTCTTATCCACTCTGTTGTTCTAAATGCCGCACCAATTGTTTGACTTGGCTGGGTTTTCCAGGGATGGGCTCCTAGTCCTTCACAGCGTTAGTGTTTGTGCAACCTGTTAGGGAACTTTTGGGGACATCTGATCCCTTTTTCTCTCACTCGCTCTCTATATCTCTTTCCCTCTCCTTCTCTGTCTCCCCCTCTCTCTCTCATCAGCAGTTTCTTATTTTTATACGTACAAAACGCTCCTTAAATGTGATTCCACTTAAGAGTAGAAAGGCTTTCGGATCATTTCCGTCATGTTCTACTTCCTCTTGTCGATTTTTACTCAAGATCCCTCCTCTCCTCACTCTGTCTTTCCTCTTTGCTGAACAATGCTAAATGTTACTGTAAGGACATCTGGTGAAGTCAAGACCCTAAACCCAACCAACAAATTCCATTCCTCTGTCTCTTTTTTTTCTATGGTTAGAGCTGTCCTTTGACATGACACTCATGCTTTACAGAGGCCTTGAAGTATGATTAGGTCTCTTGTGTCAATATCAGCTGCTTCCAAGAATAATACTAATATGGTAAAGCAGATGATATATACTGTATGTTTGACCTCACTGTCCTAGAGGTTATAGCAGTCTATGTTAGGTGAAATTAGTGACAGTTTAGGCTAATATATAATATATACTCCTCGGCTACTCTTAGTGTGTACTCTTAGTCTCCATATTGACACTACAATACATATTTGACAATGCAGCAACTTGCTGTTCATACTGACTGTCATTTAACACAACTCTGAAAGCTTTACATCTACAATAATCAAACTGAATTCCACTTGGGCTTTTGTTGCAAGCTGCCCATCAACGTTTTTTCATAATGCACAGCATATCTCTAACCTAGGTCTTCTTCTATAGGCATCTTCCACTGTGTATAGATACTGTATCTGTATGATAATCATAGCAACTGTTCCCTAGCAACAAGATCAAGAATATTACATTTTTGATTGGTAACTGATCAGCACAATGTTACCAGGAATATTTCTACTGTATAACGTTTAGAGAGAGAGGTGTTACCCCTAGAGTCGATTTCCGCTGTCCTGCAGAGTTCTAATTAGCATAATAAAAAATCCCCTCCCCCCGGCTTAGACAGGGCTTAGACTGTAGATTAATATTATTAATGTGAAGTGGGAAACTCATAGCTTATTTACTCTGGCTTTATACTGTAACGTAACATAAGCTATGGGCCATTTGGATCCAGTCAACAATGCAGTTGTGGTAAGAAGCCATCTCAAAGTATCTACCACATGCCTGCTGTAACCGCTGAGGAGCGGACAGCTACAAGTTTAAACTCTATTCATAGACAGGACATGAATGGGCGAGAAAACGGCCAAAACTATTTTATCACTCACTGTAAACATCTTAGAGAATCAACAAGTTTTCACAAGCTCATTCATAGGATAGCATTCAACACCTCACTCTTCTTTATAATCAAAAGATAATTCATCTTTCATCAACTGTGGTCTGTGCAGCTCTGCAAACCAATTTGTTTGATCTATAAATGAACTTGCCTGGTGAAAGAATAGTTTAATAAAATGAAATGTCTACCTCCATAGTAATAACACTTGCTTGCCACTGTGTTTCTGATTACTCTTTTGGATCTAGGCTGGGTAACGCTGTTTGTGCCAATTGTTGACATTAAAAGCTTAAGAAAAACATTTTATTGAAAATAAATAATATTGTGTTTCTCTCCATGTGTTGTAAATAAGCAAGAGAAGGAGAGGACAGGATGGCCCACACAGAGGATGACCTGATCGGGATTCCGTTCCCCAACCACAGCAGTGACGTCCTGTGCAGCCTCAACGAGCAGCGCCGCGCCGGGTTACTCTGTGATGTAGTCCTCATCGTACAAGACCAGGAGTACCGTACCCACCGCTCGGTCCTTGCTGCCTGCAGCCAGTACTTCAAGAAGCTCTTCACGGTGGCCTCCGACGGAGGGGACCAGCACGGGGTGTTTGAGATAGACTTTGTGGCCCCCAAGTCGCTGACGGCCATCTTGGAGTTTGCTTATACGTCCACGCTGACGGTGACGGTGTCCAACGTAAAGGAGATCCTTGGAGCTGCTCAGATGCTGGAGATTCCTTGCATCATCAAAGTGTGTCTGGACATTATGAACTCTGGCGAGGGAGGAGGTGGAAGAGGAGAGGAGGAAGAGGATGAGGATGTAGAAGAAGAGGAGGAAGATGATGAAGAGGTGGAGAAAGACATGGAGGAGGATGATGAGTCGAGGAAGGACGAGCAGGAGGATAACGAGGAGGATAATGCCAGTGAGAGGTCAATGAGGTCGTCAGAGAGTCAGGACCAGGTCGGGTCAGAGAGAGGAGCAGCTCCCAGTCCACCCAGTACCTCCCAGTACCAGCAGCAGTACGAGCTGCAGCAGAAGGACAGGAAGTGTCGGGACACAGACTCTCAGTGTGAGAAACCCCGGCAGGAGCATGACAGCATGGAGAGCCGAACCCTCAAGGACTTTTCCATTGAGTCCCTGCTACAGGAAGGGCTGTACCTTAAAATGCCATCAGTCCCGGACAGGAGGGCTAACTTTTCCCCTCTGCTCCCCGGCTTCTACCCTCCCATGTGGGCCGCAGAGTTCCCAGGCTTCCCCCCACAGGTCCTAGATCCCAACCACCACGCCCCGACTCCCCGCCCCTCCTACCCCCCCCAGCTGGACAACAGACCCCTAGACCTGGCTGTGAAGAGAGAGATCATCAAGGAGGAGCTAAAGGAGGAAGTCCCGCCCAGCATGCTCCATGGGGACTTCCTGAAAAACTTCATGAATTCCGGCCTATCAGGAATGGGGGTGGGGGTGGTGGGGTCTGAGGGGTCTCACCTCCACCTGGGCCAGATAAAGGACGAGGCAGACTTCCGCTCCTACATGAGCTTCCTGAGCACATCGAGCCACCTGGGGGCGCTGTTCCCTCCTTGGCAGCTGGAGGAAGAGAGGAAGATGAAGCCTAAAGCCTCCCAGCAGTGTCCTATCTGTAACAAGGTGATCCAGGGGGCAGGGAAACTACCCAGACACATGAGGACCCACACAGGAGAGAAACCATACATGTGCACCATCTGTGAGGTGCGATTCACCAGGTATGACAAATTCATATACACTGTGTCCGAATACCCATACTTGTGTTCTAAATAGCAGGCTTTTTGTGTTAAAAAATATAATGTTTTATAGTATGCATACAGTGCCTTCAGAAAGTATTCATACCCCTTTACTTATTCCACATTTTGTTCTTACAGCCTGAATTCAAAATGGATCAAATATATTTTTTTCTCACCCATCTACACACAATACAGAAATATGAAATACAGAAATATCAAATTTACATAAGTATTCACACCCCTGAGTCAATTCATGTTAGAATCACCTTTGGCAGCGATTACAGCTGTGAGTCTTTCTGGGTAAGTCTCTAAGAGCTTTTCACACCTGGATTGATATTTTTTAAATTCTTCAAGCTCTGTCAAATTGGTTGTTGAGCATTAATAGAGCCTTGCCATAGATTTTCAAGTAGATTTAAGTCAACACTGTAACTAGGCTACTCAGGAACATTCACTGTCTTCTTGGTAAGCAACTCCAGTGTATATTTGGCCATGTGTTTAAGGTTATTGTCCTGCTGAAAGGTTCATTAATCTGGTGGAAAGCAGAATGAACAAGGTTTTCCTCTAGGATTCCATTTTTTTTTTTTTCTGAAAAACTCCCCAGTCGTTAATGATTACAAGCATACCCATAACATGATGCAGCCACCACTATGCTTGAAAATATGGAGAGTGGTACTCAGTATTGTGTTGTATTGGATTTGCCCCAAACATAACCCTTTGTATTCAGGACAAAAAGTTAATTGCTTTGCCACATTTTTTGCAGTATTACTTTAGTGCCTTGTTGCGAACAGGATGCATGTTTTGGAATATTTTCTATTCTGTACAGGCTTCCTTCTTTTCACGCTGTCAATTAGATTAGTATTGCGGAGTAAATACAATGTTGTTGATCCATCCTCAATTTTCCTCTCTCAAAGCCATTAAATTCACCATTGGGCTCATAGTGAAATCCTTGCGTGGTTTCCTCTCTGACAACTGAGTTAGGAAGGACGCCTGTATCTTCGTAGTGACAAAGTGTAATTAATAACTTCACCATGCTCAAAGGGTTATTCAATGTCTGCTTTTTTTATTTTTACCCATCTACCAATAGGGGCGTTGGAAAACCTCCCTGGTCTTTGTGGTTGAATCTGTGTTTGAAATTCAATGCTCGACTGAGGGACCTTACAGATAATTGCATGTGTGGGGTACAGAGATGAGCTAGTCATAAAAAAATCATGTTAAACACTACTTTCTAAAGGCACTGTATGCGAAACTTAGGAAATTCAATATGCTTTAAATGCCAGGATTTCATACTCATTTTGGCTTTTCATCTAGTAGAATTCGCTGCATGCGATTGAGAAAGATAATCGTCTTTCATACCCACGTGTGTTTGACAACAGCTGATAATTAGCTGATAATGAGTTAAGGGACGCGCTGTATCAAAATGAACGAATGGCGGGAAATCAGATGATGAATTCTCAGTATGAGTCTAGTATGTTGATACTTGTTGCTTACTGCGTAAGTATGTAGTACGATTAGTACACAGTATGTCGCTTTAGTAAGTAGTAGGCAAGACAGATTTCGGACACGGCAACTATCCTCACACTGTAATAGGTCTTATTAGTCCAATAGGCTATACAGAATGTGGATGCGTAAAACAAAGTGCTTCCCAATCATCTTTTTACAATCATCTTTTTACACACCAATCATCTTTTTACACTGCTTCCCAATCATCTTTTTTATCCATAGGAGTACCCTTTGAATAACCCTTTTTGGTTCCAGGTAGAACCCTTTTGGGTTCCATGTAGAACCCTCTATGGAAAGGGTTATACAAGGAACCCAAAAAAGTTATACCTAGAACCAAAAGGGTTCTACCTGGAACCAAAAAGGGTTATTCAAAGGGTACTCCTATGGGGACAGCCAAAGAACCCTTTGAGGTTCTAGATAGCACCTTTTTTTCTAAAAGTGTAGCAATCATGTTGACACCGGAGTTTGAGATCTTGTAAGGACGATGTTATTAGGGTAAGGCAACAGTGTGTTTTTGTGGTTCAGGCGAATTAATTTTATCCTCTCATCTGAATACCACTTGAGAGTCGAGACCTAAAAGGTGGAAACTGGAATCCCCCTTTAAGGGTTTCTCATTTCCTGCCTCTGTTCTGGCATGATAGTTTAACCTTCCATCTAGTACCCCAAAGTATACCTATCTACAATGCTTTCATCTCTCTTATATCTTTCAAAACACAGACTATAACTCATTTTTTGTCTTTCCAGGCAAGACAAACTGAAGATCCACATGCGGAAGCACACAGGCGAGCGCCCCTATATCTGTCTCCACTGTAACTCCAAGTTTGTCCATAACTATGACCTAAAGAACCACCTGCGTATCCACACAGGGGTGCGGCCCTACCAGTGTGAGCACTGCTACAAGAGCTTCACACGCTCAGACCACCTGCACCGCCACATCAAGAGGCAGAGCTGCCGCGTCTCACGCCCTCGACGGGGCCGCAAGCCGGCCGCTTGGCGCTCAGTCAACAACTTCCTGCAGGGCCCTCCGGGCTCGGCCAATCACCACGAGGACGGCAAGACGCTGTCTGAGAGGTCGGGCGGCTGCCGGCTCCTGCCCTCCCACAGGGGAGTTAGAGGTCAAAGTCTGGGCCTTGGGGAGAGAGAGAGACGGGCTCTGGTTCTGGGTGGTAAGAACCTGAGTTATAAGGACTTGGACAGTGACAGCAGAGAGAGCAGAGAGAGCAGAGAGAGCAGGGAGAGCCGGGAGGCTCGGCACCGGTCAGACAGGAAGCACGTGGTGGACGAGGTGGAGATGGAGAGACAGAGGGGCGTGTTCACCTTTTCCCTAGCGAGGCCTGGGGAGGAAGTCCTCACCCACTCTCCATTTTATACCCCTGACCCCTGGACCATGAGACTGGAGAACCACACCCCTCATATCCCTGAGCCGGCCAACTAACATTTTTCCAACTGACACTTCCAACTGATAGCTAACTGACACATCATTTCAGAGTTCTAAGAACCGCACAGAACAGAGAGAGTTCTCTGTCTGGTAGATTTTTCACCTGCTGTTTAGAGATATAAGGGGAGTGATGTCTGGGAACATAGGTATATAGTAAACAGGGTAATTACTTGGAAAACAGTTGACTTTAAACATCTCAGATCAAAATCTTTAAAGTAACCATATTTACAATCGCAGGGATTTTGATAAAACATTTAATTTGGGGAAGTAAAACTGGACGAATACATTTTGTATGTTACAAAAGTACTAAGGTGAAAAAAAGAATACTCTCAGGACATGATATAACTGTTTATTTTTGGATTATGAATGTAAACGTGTAATTCATAGTGTAATTAATTAAGGTATGGCAATACATTGTTTCCTAAATTCCCAGTATAAATAAATAAACCAATATCAGATATGAAAGCTCAAAGTTATTTATAAGCTACAAGCTACGGATTCCAAATGTACCCAAAATTGCAGACCAATATTAGTGCTAATAAACAGGGTAGTGTAAGCCACATTCAAAACCATGAGGAAATTATTCACTTGACTAAAAAAATCTACATCGAAAACTTGTTTTTACCCTTGTAATGCATTGTTCTCAGATTTCGTCTGCACTATTGTAAATATATACAAATGTTTTAAAGAATTTGACCATAGTTATATTGATTATTGTTGTATTATATTTGTTGTTGTTTTTTATAATTGATAACCCACCCAAAGATGTGGAGTTTGATATTGCACAAACTTGAACATAATGTTCTGTGTTTCTTCTGAAGACCATAATGTGTAAATGATTTGTGATAGATTATTGCTTTAGCTATGTCCTGCTGGTGATTTGATTGCTGCAGTAAGACATTTAAAAGGGTTTCTACCCTATTGTCATTTACAGTTTTTTTCTGATCTGTGTATAAATGTTGTTATTCACAATTATTTGAATTGAAATGGGAAACTATTTTCTTGCTATTTATGCATATTTAAATGAGCCTTGGCTATATTTTGCAAATACATTGTTTTATAAAGACACTAAATGTTGTACTCCCGTGGGTCTGGGAGTTAAAATTCTGGTTTTGTGTGTGTGTGTGTGTGTGTGTGCGTGAGTGTGAGAGAGCGCGCGCCTTTGGTGCAAATCTTTCATAACTGGAATTACAGTTTGGATGCCATTTTAGAGAATGGATCTTTGACACACAACATTCTCAATAATCTATTGAACTATAGCTTGTATTCAAACATCAATATTATAGTCACTGTCTTCATAAAAGCATACACAACACCTCAACGTTGCTATCAAAATAAGCTGGTGTTTATAATATCACCATGAAACATCAAATAAATTGGATGCCTTGACTTTGAAAATATTTGATATCAATTGATACTTTTCCAAATAAATTAGACCTGTGAAATTTTGACATGTAAAGAATGTTATTTGATGGTTGGATAAAAATGTATTTGCATTAAACATTTATAATGCAGTAAAACAGAATATATATATATACTTTTTTCTTTCTTTCTTTCTTTTTTTCAAATTACCACATTTACTTAACTAAATTGACTAAATATGTTGAACACTTTAGTTAATGTTCCTTACATCTGATCTTCTTCATCTGAATTTGATTTCTCTTTATTTGACTGTGTAAATAGAAGTTCATCCATTATATACCAACAAGCTCTTACAGTCTCACCGCAAAATTAGACGTTTGTCCATGCTTCTCTAAACGTCAAATTTTGATGTGTTTGTTGACACCGCACTGCCTATCACTGGGATTGAACAGGCAACCCTAGGATCCTGTGTCCTAGCAAAACCCAAGCCTACTTGATAGTAATAGCAATCACCGTTGCCCATAGTGGCGACTTGGGTTAAGTTAAGGGTTTAGGCATATTTAAGGGTTTAAACCACTGCACCATCCATATTGAATTGGCAAGGCAAGTCTTAATAAATGCCTAAAGTGAACCTTGGAGTTTATCTGTTTGAATCCTATCACATCCTATCCTTAATTTAACCAATCGGAACGAATGCCTGAATTGTTAACCTGAGGACCTTCAAAAACATTGAATTTCGACTTGAATCTGGAGTGATCTCACTGGATATGCATGTACTTGCATGTGCTTCCTTGTAGAGGTCTGTGCATGATAAATTAAAAGCCAATTTATGCTTGATCCGTTTATGTGGTCGGAGGCTTCGTATGGAGGGTATGACACAATTGGGGTGGCAGGTAGCTTAGTGGTTAAGAGCGTTGTGCCAGTAACCAAAAGGTTGCTGGTTCTAATCCCCGAGCTGACTAGGTGAAAAATCTGTTGATGTGCCCTTGAGCAAGGCACTTAACCCTAATTGCTCCTGTAAGTTGCTCTGGATAAGAGCGTCTGCTAAATGACTAAAATGTAAATGTGTTGCGGAGCCTCTGGAGTCATGCAGAGGCCAAATCAATCTCCATACTACATCCCTGTGGGCCTCTCAAATTGTATTAAAGGCTCTGCATGGTCAACCTGACATCTGCATTGGCCGTGCAGCATTTACGGTGATAAATCCTCTGCAGAAGTCAGGGCATTCATACTTCTTGCAGATCAGAGCAAAGCTTGAGCAGAGCTGTTGTCAAGGAAGTCAGTTTGTGTTTATACAGGACCTCCGGCCCCCACCTACCGTCAACCAATCATGTCAATGTGGAGCTATACGGAGCTATACGGAGCCCTCTGCATTGTTACAAAAGCTCAACTTGGCCTCTGCATGCCTCCAGATGCTCCACAATTGCATCACACCCACCATATGGAGCCGCTGAACACATTTTCGGATCAAGCATAAATTAGCTTTAACAATGCAGAGGGCACCATATAGCTCCATATAGCTCTGCATTGACATGATTGGTTGACAGTAGGTGGGGACTGTACCTCCTGTATAAACACAAACTTACTTCACAATAGCTGTCCTGCTCTGCTAAGCACAAGAAGTATGAAAGCCTTGATGTATGTGGAGGCTGCATTGCAATAAATGATGTATGGCCACTTCAGACTTCAGGTTGACCATGCAGAGCCTTTAATCCATCCCGCTCCCCACCTGCACCCGCAGCTTTTCATACCCCACCGACCCACACGCACTGGCTTTCTGTCCGACTCCTAACCGCTACCGCCTCCTAACCGCTACCGCAGGAACTGGTCCCGAACCCAACCGCAGTCCCGCAATGTTATTTTAGGCATATGTGACACAGCTCACTTGGCAGCCATGGTCGCAGCCATTTATTTCGGCCTATAGGCAATATCAAAATGCACAAAAATAACCTAAGAAACAGGTTAAATTACCAGAGATTCTCACGTGACCCATTATATTAGGCTATTGGTATTACTGGACTATATAAGCCAATAGGCTAGCTAGACACAGTTTGAAGAGAGCGGAGTTGTAGACTTACATTTTCTCTTTAGCTACGTTTTATAGCCTACCTTTTAGGAGTGGGACGATTTTCAGACGGAGACAGATATGGGTGATCAATATTTATTTATAGGCAATGTAGTAAACTATAGCCTAATAATATTTATGAAGAAACATTTCTTGAAAAGATAACTGCCCTGTGCTTCTCCGCCCATGCTACGGACTCTATTTAATTGAGACCTGATCTCACACTTCGGCTGAGCAGCCTGGTCTCATAGACTAGACGTAACATAGTAATTGTAAATCCGAGACATACAAATTAGTATGATATATTATGTTTGGTATGGTTACATATGACAGATGGTTAATTACGGCAAAAACGAAAGTAGGGTGGTTGATTAGGGTGGATGGGTGTGCTACAGAACTTGAAGCAACAAGAATAATGAGAGAGGACACTTGCACTTTCTTTTGAGCTACGTTTTGCTTATAGGATATAGCCTACCTTTTAGGAGGATGATTTGCAGGCAGATACAAATAAATGGGTAATCAATATTGAATGAAAATGAAAAGGCACCTTTTACTTTTCAATGATTATATATTTGTTGCACCTCGAATCATGTTGGTTGAGCACCCTCCTCTTCTTTCCATTATCAATATTTATTTACAGACACTGTATTAAACTATAGTCCAATCCAGTGGTGTATTGATGCCTGGAGAAGTGGATATACTCCAATTTTTCCAAAATATTTCCAAACTTCCGACAAAGGAAAAGCGCCCTGTGTGAAAAATTCTATGAGAAACAGTGATGTACACTCTGAATTATCTAAAGTGACAAATCCCATATTGGTCTTTCACAGTCAGGCCAACCCAAGGCTAATAGTAGGCCTACCATTGAAACAGATACATTAAAAAAAAAAAGATTTTCCCAAATTTTTTCAGCTTTTCACTCTCAAAGCCACACTTTTTTAACAGAAAAACAACAAAATTGTATGTTCTAAATCAGTGTTTCCCAACTTTGGTCCCCAAGTACCCCCAACAGTTCACATTTGTATTGTAACCCTGGACAATCACACCTGATTCAACTTGTCAACTAATCATCAAGCCCTCAATGAACAGAATGAGGTGTGGTGTCCAGGGCTACAGTACATTCGGAAAGTATTCAGACCCCTTCACCTTTTCCACATTTTGTTACGTTACAGCATTATTCTAAAATTGATTAAATTGATTTTTTTTCTCATCAATCTACACACAATACCCCATAATGACAAAGCAAAAACAGGTTTTTAGAAATTCTTTCCCAAAAAATACATATATGAAATACCTTATTTACATAAGTATTCAGACCCTCTGTAGCACATGAGTTGGTGTTTGCAAAGGAAATGGCAACTGTATTGATGCAAATAATCATGTTATCATTCTGACGGGTAGGCGTAGGCTAGTTTGTAGCTACTGTATTTAACATTTAATAGAGAAGGTTTGTTGGAAACCCTTTCCATCTACCAGAAGATGGGTTAGGCCCATCATTAGCATCTCTATATTTTTTCTATTCCTTAATTGTTTGAAACCTGGACATTTTACTTCATGTTATGAGGCATGT